ATCCTATCTCTAAGATCCTTCTTATTATTGTCCACCAACCTACATCTCGGTCTTCCTAGTGGTCTCTTTCCTTCTGGTTATTCCACCAATATCCTATACGCATTCCTCTTCTCCCCATTCGTGCTACATGCCCTGCCCATCTCATCTTGATCATTCTAATTATAGTTGTAGAAGAGTACAAGTTATGAAGCTCCTCTTTATGCAGTTTTCTCCAACCTCCTATCACTTCATCCCCCTTCGGTCCAAATATTCTCAACACCCTGTTCTGAAACACCCTCAGTAAATGTTCCTCCCTTACTGCGAGAGACCAAGTTTCATACCCATACAGAACCACAGGCAAAATTATAGTTTTGTATATTCGAAATTTTATGTTTTTGGACAACAGACGAGAAGACAAAAGGTTCTGGACTGAATGGTAGCAAGCATTACCCGAGTTCAGTCTCCTCTTAATTTCCTCCTGAATTCGGTTTTGATTTGTTCCAGTCGCTTTATTCCTATTTAATTTGGCTGTATATCAGTGAATATCGAGTGCGAGCTGGGGTTTCATTCCCGGCAGAAACAATATACTTTTTTTTTTCTTCTTTGCAAGTTACAAACCAGCTCTGGGACCCAGCCAGCCTACTATTTAGTCGGTTCCAGGAAAACTTCCGCGGGGTTTAACCGGCAGGATTGTGAAGCTGACCACTCACCTCCATCTGGTGCCGAGGTTAAGAATGGTTGAGCTACAGCTCTACTGCCCACACGTCTTCATGGCTTAGTGCTTAGTTCATTAAGCACAAGGAAATGTTGACCTTCCTTTTGCCTTTACCGTAAAATATTCAGAGACGAGTACAACTTTAAGCATTTCCTCATCATGCGGTTACTTCCCGTCTGTTACATCAACACCCTCTGTCTATTATGTTCCACCCTTTTGGGGGGGACCACATTTCTTATTATCTCAATTTACTCGTAATATGGCCAGAATATGGGGTGACGCAACACATGGAGGAAGAAGCAACGTCTACTTCATTACACTTTAATAGTTTATTTCATCAAAATTCATGAGAATTTAACCCTCCATCCCATTAAGGAACACAGGACTTAAAAGTATTCGGGTTTCGAGCAGCTTACTTCCTGGCAACCTGGCAAGCTAGGACAGAGGACTTTTTAGGATAGACTCATTAAGAACGGTGAAAAAGTATAGGATTACAGTTTATGTGAAAGGGTAATGGAACTTGCTTTTATTTACACATTAATAAAGAAGAAATTCGGCTGAAATATATGATTTTCTGAACGTGGTAGCGTATTTGGTTGAGGCACTATGTTGCAAGCAGGAAGGTCGCGGGTTCGATTCCCAATGTATTAGGATTTTTCAATTTACCTAACCCTTCCACCCGCACTGTGGCCCTGGGTTCGACCCAGCCTGTAACAGAAATGAGTACTAGGTATATTCCTGTTGGTTAAAGGGCGGCCGGTGAGTAAGGCTGACAACCTTACCTTCATCTGTAAGCCGAGTGTCTAGAAAATGTGGGAGCCTCGACATCTCACAACCCTATGGGCCCCAACGGCCTCCTGCAGGGACAGCTTTACCTTTATAACTTCTAATTGGATTTTATTTTTCAAGCATTGCATAAATTTGCTATACTGGCTCAGAATTTTCTTGAAAACGAGGAACTAGTATGCATATTCCTGTAATTTATTTCTGGAAACTATGACACATTTTGTACCCGTCTCACTAGGAACAAGAAGTAGTCACTCTTGTAGCTGGGCCCTTCTTAAGAAGCCGCCAGTTGTGCAGCTGCTCAAGAAAATCCCAGCATTTCATGGAATCCAGAGGTTCATTAATGTGTTAACATGAGACTTCCACTGTTCTCTAGCCTGTGTCAGATCAATCCAAACCATACCATCTCATCCTATCGCTCTAAGATTCATTTTAATATTGTCCACCAACGTACGTCTTGGTCTTCCTAGTGGTCTTCTCCCCATTCGTGCTACATGCCATGCCCATCTCATCCTCCTTGCTTTATCATTCTAATCATACTTGGATAAGAGTATAAGTTATGAAGCTCCTCATTATGCAGTTTTCTCCAATCTCCTGTCACATCGTCTCTCCTCAATATTCTCCTCAACACCCTGTCCTCAAACACCCTCAGTCTATGTTCCTCCCTCAGTGTCAGAGACCAAGCTTCACATCCATACAAAACCACAGGCATAATTATAGTTCTGTATATTCTAATTTTTATGTTTTTGGACAGCAGACGAGAAGAAAAAAGGTTCTGGACTGAATGGTAGCAAGCATTACCCGNTAGACCAACAGCTGATGTGTCCCGTTTAATTTCAGTCCCACCTGGTTTCCTAGGACCTTCCTAATTGCATATTCTAAAGCAAAGTTGAAAAGGAGTGGCGATAAAGCATCTCCTTGTTTTAGACCATTCTGGATAGGAAATTTATCAGACAGATGTTTACCTATACGGACTTTACTATACGTTTCGTTTAACCACATTTTAATCAACCTAATTTTAATCAATTGGGATACCCAATTTCATGGGTATCCCAAACTCTATCAGAATATTGTACAATACTTCCCTCCTAACTGAATCGTAGGCTTTCCTGAAGTCTATGAATAGCTGATGTACTGTCTCATCGTACTCCCATTTTTCTCCAATATCTGACGAATGCAAAAGATCTGATCTGTAGTTGATCTGTTACGTCGAAACCGACACTGACCATCCCCAGTAATTTCATCTATGTATGGACTTAACCTTGAAAGAAGAATATTGGATACAATTTTGTATGAAGTTGATAGCAGTGATATCCCTTGATAATTACTACAGTCAGTTTTATCACCCTGCTTGTGAACTGGTACAATAATAGACTCCTTTCACTGATCAGGCAATTTTTCATTATGCCAAATAAAATGAATTAGCTTATGGATCTTATAACGTAATATCAGTCATGGAAATATGTGTGACGTCAGTGACACATGGTTGAACTGAAAACATTCTCTTCTGTTGAACTCAAGAGTCCTGCGGTCTGATGAAACAGATGTATCGAAAAGCATGACGATTAGACAGGGACATAATGAATTTATTTTCTTATGCTTTAACTACAATTCCAGTAGCTCAGATTATAAGACATGATTTGTGAATAATAGGGTGGATAGACGTGGAAGGAAGCTGTTGCCCCCTAATGCGACCTTGCCCGACGCAACTGAACAAAAATCGTGTGTCTATTATGTGATTACTTATACGACTATATTGAAGCGAAAGTTTTTTCATTCAGACATTGTGTAGAAAAGTGAAACATATTTTGGTCCATACCATTTGATGCTAGTCTTTTTGTTTTCGATGTAAATAAAAATGTGGTTTTTGTGCCGTAACATCTCATCTCATATTATTTATTCATCAGTGACTCTACAGCCCTTTGTTAGGCCCGGGCTTCTTCTTCAGTTTCGTAATCTTTTTCAGACAGACTGCTGGACCCCGTGAACGAATGATCAGCCCGTCGGAAAGCCGCTACTTACACACAGAGCAACACAAATACAGAACAAGCGCACACAGACATCCGTGCCTCGAATGGGATTGGAACTCACGATCCCAGTGTTCGAGCAGTTTATGCTTTAGACCTTGCGGCCACTGTGATAGTCCATCTTGTAGCATACGAATAGAAAATCTAAAGCCAATAACAGAACGAAATTTTCAGAATGTTTAAGCTCATTTTCACTCTTACGTTTATCGGCTCGTGATATACCAGTGATAGCTGTAATTCGTTGTATGCATGTTGTTATACAGTCTTGGCACACAAGCGTCTGTTGCAGTCGGACAAGACGCATCTTGGCTTATAAGATACTTCTCATGTAATGCCATCCAAACCATAGACTGGTTCCGTTACAGTGGCATGTTTTAGAATATCTGTAACCGTCAAAATTGCAGATTTCTCAGGATAATGAAATGAAGTCCGCTCACGTTACATGAGCATGACATTGATTGAACGGTATAAATAGGCATGTGTTTACACAGTTTGCTGCTCTTTCAGAATCAGTGTTTTGTTGTACCCACAAATTGCAGATTCGCTTGTTTATGTAGACTCACAGAATATTAATTACATAGCACAATATTTGTTTGCTTTATTATAATAACACAGAACGTATTTTAGAGTGAGCATTAAACAGACGTCATCTTTCAAAGCTTAAGTTTTGTATTATTTAGTCTGTGTTTTCTAAAATAAAGGAGCCGGGATAGCGTAGTCGGTACAGTGACTGGCTACGGGCTGGACGATCGAGGGGTCGGAGTTCGAGTTCCGGTAGGTTCAAGAATTGTCTCTTCTTCACGCTGTCCAGACCGGCTCTGGGGTCCTCTCAAATTCCTCTCCAATGGGTGCCAGGGGTTCTTTCCCCGGCGCTAAAGCGGCCGGGGCATTAAGCTGATCACTCATCTCCAGGTAGTGACGAGATCAAGAAAATGTGGATCTATACTTCCACTTCCCCATACGCCTTTATAGTGTCGTACTTAATTAGTTAAACACAGGGACAGATTTACCTTTACCTTTCTAGAATAGTGCGGGCCTCTCGCTTTGTTATACAAATTCCTGTTTACAAACAAAGAGTTGTTTATTGACAATTAGGAAATAATAATAATAATCTAGGTCGAAAAGAGGATAATCAGGACGAGAGACCATGTCTCACATCCATATGAACCAAAAGATAGAACTATGTTTCAATTTAACTTTTGTTTAATACAGGAGATTTAAAGACTGGAGATTTAAAACGTAATGTTTACAAGCATCTCCGAATTTGATCTGTCCGTAACTGCGTCATGAATGTAATTTTGTTTTATTATTGTCTTACCGAAGTATTACAACTGTGCCTCTTTTTCAGAGAGGTTACATATGGCCTATTGCTTTAAACCTTTATGTTTTATAAACTGTAGTCGTCAGTCACAGTTCTATATAATTTCCGTCTGTGATTTCCCACGGACGTTGCATGTTGTGAGAATCTAAATACGTTTACTTTTGTGTACCAGGACGGTGGTCGGCCCCAGTACCCTACTGTATGCCCATAATATGTCCGCGCCTGGAGACAGAGGACCCGCATCTCTCGCTGGTGGAACACAACACGAGCTACGGAGGACGGGCCGTGTTCCGTTGCGCCTGGGGTTACAGGTTGACAGCGCCCCCTGGGATCGAGTGTGAGGTGGATGGACAGTGGTCCGGACCCGTGCCTTCTTGTGAGGGTGAGGTTTATAGATCTGTTTCCTCTAAATTACATTCTACTTCTGAAATCTTGAAGTCACGGCATGTTTCAAACAACACCTGGCATCCCTCCAACAAGACATGCTAGTCTCCCATCATTCACAGAACCCAACTCCCAGCGCCACTGCACTCTTTCACAGACATTCACTGGTCTGTTCGGAATAAACCAATGAATATCCTGATGGGAGGTAGGACCTCAGATGACAGTTAAGATAACACAGAAAACTTCATAAGCATAGGGACAAATCTTCGAAATTCAGATCGCAAGTCCGTGCCAGCTGCCTATGTTGTTCTTGCAGTACAGATCCGGTAGACCGCACTGCACGCCGACTCACGTGATGTTCTTGCCGAGAGGCCGTGATAGTTTGATATAATCATTTCGTTTTAACTGAAGATTTTCCTTTGAAATTCTTTATACTCATCTAACAGCTGCGGTATTTAAAATCTTTCAACAGTGGTATCATAACGTATAAATCACAGAAAAAGAAAATGTAGCTCCTAGCTCCCTTTTGCAGTGCACAGAGTCCATAGTGACCTGAACGCCGTGACAGAGCTGATGTACTCGTGCTGAAACTACGGTGCAACAAACGTAGCGCCTACACAGAAAGCTCGACCCCTCCTTCGTCGAAGAGGAGGCCCAATTTCGAAACACTTACATGTTTAGGAGAGAATAAAATCTTGGTCATGCATCTCGAGAATAAAGCCAGGAATGACTGTGCTGGCGAAGGCTAGAAGCAATTTAACAGACCTACCGAATATTTACGCGACAAACATGAACGTCGTGCTCTCTGCAAACTGCAACGCGGCCTCACTGCAGCGAATCGTGGTTGGGCACTGGAACATAAAAATCAACGAAGGGAAAAGTCAGACGATCTATTTCTGTAGAATACTTAGAGTCTCTGACGATGTACTACAGTTAAACGGACGAGACATTCCCTTTGTAAATAATGCAAAGTATCTTGGTGTCACTTTCGACTGGAGGATGACATGGAGACACCACATCGAAAGGACTGTAGCCAAGGGGTTGCGCATGTACAAAAGGACCTATTATTTATTCAAAACTTATTTGTAGTTACAAGTTATAAGCACTCAATAACTCCAGTTATCAGCCCAAACTTCATGTCTAGTCACCACTAAGGGGTGGCAATGCGAACGGATGGTGTATACTGGAGGGAAGACAGCATAACTGCCAGGCGCTCGCCGTGCGCTGACGCCCGACCAGCAGGGTACACGTTGCTGAGAAATGCCTTCCCATTAAGAAGCTATTTTTATTACAACACAAGCAAACCAAACAAAAGGATGAAATATTGCTGAAAAGTTTTTCTCTTTTTTGTATGGGGAGAAGTTGCAGCAGTGAGAGAGTTTTGTGCGTCATTTGTTGGCTGGTGCGATAGTGAGTGGAGGTATTAATCAGGGCTGATAAGGAGCTCCACAGTTTCAGGGCTTTGCCGAGTTGTAGAGCCAGTCTAACACGTTCGCATTTGTAATTGTCCATGCTTTCAGAAGCCATAGTGACGACTAGCTCTGGTGTTAGCAAAACGTTGGCCTCGTAAGCGCCATGATCTTACAGTCCATGCAAAGGGGATATTGACCAAGTTCAATATTTTGGAACCGAAAACTAAGATAATGAGTCAATGCATTTTACATAAAAGAAAAGGGTGATCGAGAAGAATACTAGAGACCAATATCTTTAAGTAGGCAGAACTGGCTCTCTTCAAATTTTATTAACGCCCTTCAATACATATTTTAAACTTTTAACTTTCTGAAGCACAAATTCATCTAAATGTTATTTAAAATTCGGTTTCTACTTATCAGAAACACATTTTCCCTCATTGCCAACATAACTGGTTAATGCTGTTCAGGAAAAACAAGTTTTTATTATTATTGTTGTTGTTGTTGTTGTTGTTGTTATGAGAATCGTGCGGAACTCTTAAATGCACTTCGTGGTCAAATTGTAGAGCATTCAACATGCAAACAGGTAGTACATACAGTTTCCACTGAGCTCCTAAATATTTCTAAAATTCTGATTTCAGTTTGAGGTTGCGGGATTATGAGTAAAAACAGAAGTCTGCGTTTCATGCAGCTCACTGTACCTCGCGGATTGTATCTGACGTAAATCTAGTAGCGAGGTATGGCAGAAAACCAGGTAGCAAGATGGCGCCGTTCATGTTAGCCATAATCGCTGCCTGGGGAAATTATTTCAGTTTCATTTGAGACACAGTAACCATGAAATAAAACTTAACTCGTTTTATGTTTTAAATGTTAATTTATTCACTTCGTCCTGCATAAAATATCAGTATTACAAACATCCAGAGAGTTCGATGTAATAAAGTTATACAATCTCAGGACACTATTACTATAAATTATCATGTGAAAATATCTTCACCGATAATTTTTGCAAGCTAATTTCATTTTTGCAGTTACTGCTAAAACCTTAACTTAATGCCTGTCAATGAGGTAAAACAAGACAAAATAACATGAAGGACGCAGTAAGATTAAGAGAATAAGGTAAACTTAATTTGTAAAAAGAAAATAACCACAAAATGATTTAACCCATTAGCTCCTGGGGCAGAGTCCACGTTGAGAAAGTCTCTCAGCTCGTCAAGAAATTTTCCGCCTTTAAGATTTCTTTTCGTATTCGCATGAGCTCACTACTGGCTCCTATTCTGGGCCAGACGAATTCAGTCATACCCTACTTCTCTGTGATCCATTTAATATTTATATCAGCTTTTAGGTGCTTCAAGTGACCTCATTTCTGCGTGTTTTCCAACTGATGTGCTTCATGCATTTCTCATATCTCCTATGTGGTCCACCGATTTCATTCCCTTTATTTTAATCTAAATTATATTTACTGTATAAACTAATTTATATATATAATTTAACAGTATCTAGTTCATGTTTTGCCGATCGTAGTAGTCGCGCTGTCTAAGGCATGTACTGTCTTCGCCTATTTAAACACTTGGATCGTGGGTTCGAATCCTACTTGAGACATGGATGTCTGTGTGTGTTTATTCTGTGTTCGTGCTGTCTTATGTGCAGGTTAACGGCCTTACGACGGGCAGATCCCGCGGACAAGGTCCAACAAAGGGCTGTAGAGCCATAGATAGATAGATAATATTTTAATATATAAAACGAGTCATTTAAGATATTTGAAAAAATATAAAACCCGTGCGTTAGGTAGTTGTTGCATGGATCTCTGAAGGGGTATTTAAATCGCAGATCGATATGCAAGACGAAGTAATGTGTTAGAATATAAAACGTTTTACATTGTGTTTGACGCTAGGCGTATTAAGTTAATTACCGGAGCTAACAGTGCCCTACGCGTAGGGCAGTAATTAGAATTTAAAACGGGAAATAAAAATTCGCCTTTAGCAGTAGTTCGGATGTGAACCAGTTATGTTAATCTCTGCACCGCTCGTACAGCAGAGAGACGCCGCCGTATGTTTACATATGCAGGCCGTCACTACTGGCTCGCTTAATCACATGCCGAATTTAATTTCCGGTCCTGGCACTTCCCTTTGTTTTGAGTAACAATTTGTCTGGACGCGAGGGACAGGTGAGATCTCAACATTGCGGTTTCCGTATTGGGACGGCTAAGGCCACCGTGTAGAGTGGAACAGTCGGTTCAAATCTCGATGGACAGTAAATAAATCTGGTTCGTACCCAGAAGTGGCGGAAGTAATTAAAACGAGGTAGCAGGAAAAGCGGTTTCATGTCATTATGTGGACCAATTTTAGTCCCTGGAACACGGTACGTGCTGGGCAAGCAGAATGTTTTCATGTGGGCAAGTAATTAGTCGTGATAACAGCTGGCTTTATGAGAAATTCAAGTCGGATACACGACAGCTCAGTCGGTACAGCCGGTTGGCCGGGGGAACACTAGGATCCAGGTTCGATTCCCAGCAGCTACACAGATTTTCATTTTGTTTACTGCGCCCATACTGACTCCCAGATACACGCAACCACCAATCCAATGAATAGCAAGGATTTTTTTCGCAATAAAGCAGCCGAGACGTGAAGCTAACCACAAACCTTCATCTACTACCAGGTTAAAATACGTGGAGCTATACCTCCAATATACGTCATCATGGTGCGCTAATTAAGCACAACTTTACTACTGGATCCGTGAGGAAATTATTCCGCACGGAAGTCATTAAACCCTACACATTCTTTTTACAGCCACTCAGTATAATTACAGCCTTTTATTTTACTCCCCTTTCTTTCTGTTTCTTTCTATCTTACGCTACTTGTTACTTTTTTCTGCCACTATTTATGTTTTCCTTCTTATATAATTCTTCTTTTGCCATTTCTGAATTCCTCAGATTATATATTTTTTTTTCTACTACCTTTCAAACATGCATACACACATTTTATTTGTTTATTTGTTTACTTCTTTATTAGAGAATGGCCTGCCCACTAGTTACCTAACCCTTCCAGCCGCACTACGGCCCTGGGGTCGACTCAGCCTCTAACAGAAATGAGTACGAGGAATATTCTTGGGGGTGTGGGAACTGCCCACATTCAAGCAAGTGTGACAACGCAAGCGTCATTGCCTAGCAACCGTTGTTTACTCGTCGTTGCTAAGCGTAAGGCTGACAACCTCAGCGCCATCTATGAACCCATTGTCTAGAAAATGTGGAAACTTAGGGGCCTCCACGGCATGTTACAGATATAGCTTTACTTTTGCTTTTTTGTAAGGGGCAGTCAAAAGAAAACGGGTCACCACGCATAACTCACACGGCGCGCAAGTTGGTAAGACTGGAATTTGCTTACGGTACGAACATCTGGTGAGGACTCAGGATAGCACAGTGGCAACGTGCCCTTGCACACTAGTCGTTTGTTTATTGTGCTGGAAGTAAGGTTAGCGCTACGTGTAGTCGTCCAAATTCAATAATGTAGGCGGGTAAAGAAGAACAGCGAAGTGTAGTGCGCTTTTTGACTGTTGAAGGAGTAGGAGGACGAGAAATTCATCGTCGCATGTC